CCACCTGATTTTTTCCTTCTTTTCTAGCAATGCGCTAATCTGCGTCTTTGTAAATATATGCTTTAGACGTTTTTCCAAATTCTCCGATCTGTGCGGTTTTTTCCTAAATTTCGTTGTTTGGGATTTTAATTTCTGAATTTCCGATACAAATTTCTTTCTAGATGTCATCCACCTTCTTTGTCGCTCAGCAAACATGTTAAAATTTTTCTTTTCTCTATTTTTCAATATTTTATTACAATTTTCTTAGGATATTATTTTGTTCTTCTAATTATAGGACATTGTCACTTGTGAATTTTATTTAAAAATCATTCACATTTGATTTATTATTGTCAGCTTCAATTTCGTTCTCGGCCTCAAAATAAATTTTCTTTGGGCTTAATTCGTGTAGTCTTTCAAAAAGCACTGTGCATTAGTTTTCTTTTCAAATGTCTCCGATTTCTTGGTGTTATTTCGTTTACTGCACACGATAAATTTACTTTCGGCACAGCAATTGCATTTCAACAGTTTTCTTTTTCTGGCAATTCCAAGCAAGCGATTTTTCATGTCATTCTTCATAATCACCTGCGCAGAAAATGTTCGGCAAATTCTTGTGTTTTTCACATTAACAGAATCCTGTCTTTCGAACATTTATGTATCCATGCTTTCGTCCAAACAGCAAAATTGTTCTTTGGGAAAGCATGAAATACAATATCTCTTCCTTTTGGTATTTCTATAAGTGTTACGGCACGTTGCTGTACACGCAAAAAGCCATATTACAGAAACGATACTTTACAATATAGAATTTAAAAGTATATACTATATAAGTATATATAAATTATGTATATATATATATATACATATATACAAGTTATTAAATATTTGCATTATTAGAAAACAAATATGTATGATTAAAATTAATTTGGGATGCGCGATCTCCAGAAAATCGTCTCGAAACTGAATGAAACTACAGTTTTAAACTCGCGAAATCAGAGCAGGTGCAACACAGATGCATCAGATTACTTCCAGTTCACCTCCTCCATAAGGCTCGCGTCGGCGAGGAGTCGAACAAAGGAATGACCTAGCCCTTCTATTTATCCCTGAGCTAAGCCACTGATTTTTCACAATCCGCGGAATTGCATTACTATCATGAAGGTAAGAAAGGAAGGAGGTGCCAAATCGTCACCACCGGAAAAACAAGGCCTCGACACTGCGATCGTGACGTCACTAGTAGCGGGTAAAGGAATAAACGCGCTCGCAGCTTCCAGGCAGCGCGAATTTTCTCTAAAAATTAGAAATTTCATTTTTTATTCCCCAAAATAAAAAATAATGTAAGTAAATAAAATACGCAAAAAAAATTAACTTCAGGTTAATTTTCGCTGTATGCATGAACATTTCAAGAGCATTTTAAAGACTTGCACATTATGGTTTCCCTACATTTTTCGCCATGTCAGCCAACAAATTCATTTGTTTTTACTATGTACATTATGTACATTATTTTCCCTTTCAATGACATATGTACATATGTCAATGTACATATTTCAATGACATATGTATGTATGACATATGGCAATATGTACATTATTTTCCCTTTCAATGACAAGAACATCTGCCTTCAGCTTTGCTTATATTAGCGCCGTAAACGAATTTTCTTATATGAAATATTATACAGAATAATAAAAATATATTTTATTGATTTAATTATAACGTTTTTCTTAAATATTAAAACATATTCAAAATGATGCCGTAATCAAAATTAGCAACTGTATAAAAATTTAATAAATATAAGTTTTGATATATATTTACACTTACTTAATATTTTATTGACACTGCTACAGAGAATAACTAAAGTACTAAATTTTTAGGTAGTAACATGTGAAATTTAAGTAAAAATAGGTTAGCAATATAATAGTAAGTAATGTATTGTGAATAATGTTTGTGTACAGCATATGATACTTTTGAAACCAACTAAACAAAAACTGAATTCAGCAAAAACTAATAAATGAAGTAGGAGTATATTATAATGCATGAGGACGCCTAAATTATTTTCTTGCATATAAGTGTAAGTTACATTAGATTAACAATATTTGAAATGTAATGAAAGGTGATGCATTTTGTGTTGTGTTTATTTACAAAGCATACAATATAAAATTAATTATATTGAATTCAGAAAGAAATAATAAATAGAATAATAATGTGAAAGCATTTATAAGTTCTATTCCATTTATAAGTTCTATCCATTGTCTAGCATAAGAAATGTAAGTAAAGTTAGGTTAGCAGTATATGAAACGTAATGTGGACATTCATGCACTACATTTGTTTACAGAATATGACACAGCATATAAAATTAATTCTGCTGAAACCAATTGAGCAAAAACAAGAGAACCTAGGAAGAACTAGTGAATAATGTAATGGTATACTACAATATAAAAGCATTTATAAGTCAGTTTTCAAGTATGCAACTAGGAGAAATTCTTTATATTTAATTTCCATGCGTTATTGACCTTTAAATTTGAAAATTTTGGGTCCTTAAAATGTCCCTTGCATTTTAATTTTTATCAAATTGTTTCCACATTAAATTTATAAGAGTCTAATACTGTTCATAAGAGATTTGTTAATGCATTTTAGCATTAATAAAAAAAAAAAAAAAGCTTACAGGAATCATTAGGCTTTTCATAAAATAATTTAAATTGGTGAATAACATTTTATGCATTGTTTATGTCTACAGAACATAACATATAAACTGAGTGTATTGCAAACAGTGAAATTTATTGTTTTGAAACCAGCTAAACAGAAAATGAACTGAGAAAATATTAATAAATGTATTAACTTATTTCAATGCTAAAGTATTTTTAAGTTAGTTTTTATGTATTTAAGATCTCCGAAAATTATAGATATTTAAAATGTCTTTGCATTTTAATTTTTATCACATTGTTTTCACACTAAATTTATATGATACTATTTAAGACATTTGCTGAAGTTTCTTCTAATGAATTGCTATAAATTTTCTTTTAAATTTTCACAGTATTGTTGGAATACATGGCCTTGGTAAGCAAAAATATAGCCTATAAAATATTCTGCGATTCATAAAAGAAAACTTATTTACATAGCTTAATCCTTAAATATCTGTTTCCTCCATTCAAGCATTTATTCAAAACATTACAGGTTTTCAACATAATAATTAGTAACTAGATATAAGTATAATATAAATAATTCCGTTTTGAACTATGAATATTAGACTCAATATCAGTTCATAATTAAGTCAAGCAAAAAAAATCTAATCATACGACTAAAAACGTTACTACAAATTTGCTTTCAAAATTGTTAAGTGTTTCAGAACCATATAATGTCTTTAAGACATAACATAAAAGAAACATTCATTGTGTGATGGATAATTGCAATTTGTATAGTCTAGTGACATTTACGCAAAATCACGTCTTGGTTATTTTCCGATAACTAACAACAACGATTTTGATTATGAATTTGTTTTATAAAATTTTAAGCTGTTGAACTACAAAAATATAGACTTTAGCAAAAATATTATACTTAAAAAATGAAAAATACATTACGGTACCTTTAAAATTGTATAGTCTTTCGATACACCTGATAGAATATTCGTTACTTTTATTTTATATTCCAAACGCCAAAATGTTTTAAATATCATAAAATAAAATTTTGTCATCCATATATTACTGTAACAAGTACTTTTTAAAAATTTTTAGAGAACGGGCTTTATAGTTGTTCATTTTACACTCATCATTTTATTTTCATATAACTGAAAAATAATCACTTTGGGTTTACACATTTTACATATTTGGGTTAATACCTAGAAGAAAATTACCACCAAATGCTGCAATCCTCGTCAAACTTAGTACATGTACACCTAGATATGCCAATAAGTTAACTTTTCCCTTGATTTGTACCCACACATTTGTGTAAATTTAGTTTTACAAAAATGTTTCACACAATGTGAAGAACAGAAGACGGATACTGTGATAGTTACTGTGAAGAAAGCTAATTATTAAATGTATCTAAATTTATAATGATTATAAATATTATCTAAATATGTAATAACCTTCACATTGAATTTTAAACACAAATTGAAATCCTGTTGACAAATACGTTTACAAAACTATTTAAGCAAGAATTTTTCGTACTGGAAAGCAATCTGTTAAAAGCAGCATCTGTAAAAATCTGTTAAATTTAGATACATTTAATAATTAATTTCTAAAATTTGAATTCCCGGAGTTCTATGGAAGACTGTCAGGAAGGAAGGGAAAAAAGTTAAATAAAATAACTAAAAAATAAAACAAGTAAAAATAATTTAAAAAAATCTGAAAAGTTTCAGATTTTAAATTACGTTCAAAGGGGTGTTTTTTTAACGTTTTGTGTGTTACCTTTACTTATTAAATATCATGTTATTTACACTTAAACCATAAAATTCAGTTCAACACCAATGTCGCAAAATAGTTTTTAAATGAGCATATCTTTAGAACTTCCGATACACAGTTCCGCGCGCTGGAGATAAAAGGGTGTTTCCGTAGAGTGGTTGTCTTTGCTCGCTTTTAAATCGTTCAGTTTGTTAATCAAAAATTCGTTAAAGTTTTACCAGATACTAAATCGATAATAAAACAAATTCCAAATTTGGGCTTTCAGAGGCCCATATTCGCAATAGGATTACGTCATTCAAAACTGGATGCCTCTATGTACCTTTGTTTTATCACAATGCAAGAATTTAATTATTAATTATCAAATTATTTAATTTTTTTAAATATAATGCAGGACTCTAACATTTGGTGATTAAAAATTTCAAAAGTGATACGCCGTTTATAGTGATTCGATTCAAAATTGCAAAACGAAAACAATAGTCTTTCAGGGAAAAAGCTCCTTTGAACAAATAATTAAATAATTAAACCAAAATTAAAGGAAATAAATAGAAATTTAATGCATTATTAAATTAATTATAAACAGTTAAATTGAAGACATTAGATTATTTCGAAGCAGGAGAGATGAAAAATGAGCACTGCCCTCGCGTGGATTCGAACCACAGATCTCTCGAATACGCGTCGAGAGTGCTAACCACTACACCACGAAGGCACGCTAAGAAGGCGGGAGAAATACCTTACATACTTCCCATTTAAAGGGTTTAGGGGACCCAATCGCTAAATCTAGGTGGTGAAGAATCATCACTGACCCCCTTTTTAGTTCGGGCGCCACTGTAGAGACATTAGGTTATTTGGGAGCAGGAGAGGTGAAACATGAGCAATGTCCTTGTCGGGACTCGAACCACGGACCTGTCGAATACGCGTCGAGCGTACTGACCACTGCACCACGAAGGCACGCTAAGAAGGCGGGAGAAATGCCTTATAAAATAAAAAATAAATTATCGGACCTCATCGTACTTAGGGCTCTGGCTGGAATTATAGTTCCACTCAGAGGCTGAAAATTAATTCAGCCGATCTCCGTCTGAATTTAAGCCCTCGTTATACGTATAATGTGCTATTTCAGGGGATGATAGATATAGAAACTCTTTTTTTGCAGCACCCCAATGAAAAAAGATGAAATAGGCTAAAGGATAGTCTTTCCATTAAGGACTATAGTGAGAATTTTATAAACAAATTGAGGACATGGAAAGAAATTTTAACAGAAAAATGTAGCTTTGAAAATAAAACGAAAAGAGCAAGAATTTGCGATAGCGATACCCCGTCGATATAATTCTAGCTATTTAAGTCGAAATTTTCCCTGAATACGATCCTAACAAAGTGAGAATAAACAGTACTCTTCGGTACTGGTGACAGTAGTGGTCCCCTGCGCTTGATCACATCGTTCAAAACGTCTCCTGGACGTCTACAGTAGGAAGTCTCTAGTGTGGCATGTGTACGACCAGTGTATCACTTTCACCGCGAAAGGATCGCCAGTGCTTCGAAGCAGTGTATGGGGAAAACCGGTTACGACCTCTCCTTCTTACTTCCTACCTCCATGATCATTACAGCACGTTTCAACTTCCACATTAAAGAATTTAATCCAGCTATTCCCACAATTCTTGAAATTCGAATCTGAAAAGATTACTTACATCTCTTTCGGTATGTGCCGCATAAACAAGCGCACAATTTTTTGTACTTTAATTCATTTGCGTATATTCACAGTGAAAGTGAATTCATTTGATTGAAAACCTTAACCTTCAAATCAAAGTTAAGGATTTTCTGCTTATTCCTAAAATTTATATGATGAAAAATAAGATCGTTAATCACTTTTTTTTTTTGTGTTCTTGGCACTTTATTCAATTTCTGACGTTTCAACAGTAGCTAAAGGTTTATGAACTGAACTTTTTGGTTTGAAAGAAGTTAAAATTATATTGAAAAATTTTCCTTTGTTCTTCGCATAAACTAAAATTAGAGATACTGACCACCGGATTGGTGTCAGTATCTCTTTTATTATATTGCGTGAATCGGAAGACTAGGAAAGAAGATTTTGGAATACCGGGACAATAATTTTTTATGACATTCTGTCCTTATCTCTGTTTTAAATCAGAACTTTTGTTATGTAGCAGCTCATTCTCAGAACAAATTTGCAAGTTCCAGACGAAGCTTTGTATAGCTGAAATTCAATACTAGGTAACTTTCCACGTGCATTCTTTATAACGGGTCGCAATAAGGTTAAATTGACTTTTAGGTAAATGTTTTGAGTATGATTGGGCGTATGAAGGCGATTGAAAAATTTGTGTCATCTGTAGAGTATGATAGACAACAATTGAAAGGAAACGGATGATGGAAAACTAAAAAATTATCATCAGCTTATAAATTTAAACAACTACTGGCAAAGACTAACAATTTAACAACTTAAAATTTAAATTTAAATGTTAAATAAAATGACAATATTGCAATACGCAAACAAATGTGAAGTTAGCTTAATGTAAAAAAGCGAAAATTTAAAATAAAACTGCAAAGCATAACAAAAAGAAATAAAATAAAACTTAAAAAAATTGTTAGTTATTTATAATTTTGCTTTTATTTAAAGTGTATATGCTAATTAATGCTCTAAACGGACAAGAATATTTAATCATATAGTCTAATGAGAATAACACATTATGTTATTCTATTTCCACAATACATGTACAATTTATATCACGAATAATAAAAGCATAGTGTGCCCATGATAAATAAAAAAAATATACATTATACATTTCATAAATCAATAAAATTAATAGAAAATTTGAAAAGATAATAGCTTATACATTTGATAATGCAATTAAATTAATAGATTTCGTCATTTAGTCTCAATACGCTTTTCTTATTCGCAATATAAAATTGTGGATGTGTACTGTAAACAGAATCATTTAATCTATTATTCTTATTAACATGCATGACAAATTATTTTTCTCATTTCAGTGCATTCAATATCATAACCATTTTAAATTAAAGTGTATTGTATACAAACATTTTTAACTGTAGTTTGATTTGTGGTTTTTTTTTCCGGGGAGGGACGTAGAGTAGGAGCTGAATTGTACGTTATCAATGATGGCATTTTTAGTTATTATTAAAATAAAGACAGTAATCAGAGATGAAGAAATCGCTTTAAAATATTCAGTTTTGGAGACTGGCAGTAATAACAATGTTTCAATGAGCATTTTAGTTCTGGCTAAATTGAAGAAACGAATAAAGCCAATTCGTCGCTGATTGGATATAATAACAATCTTACAATCAGCATTTTAGTTGAGGCAAAAATGAAAAAAAAAAACGAATAACATCAACTCGTCATTAATTGAGCAAAGATTACAAATTCAACATCGTCTGATCCAGACCCATGGAGTGACGAAGACGTCAGAAAAGGCCAATTAGAAGATGACAGCATTAAAATCAGAATTATCATAATAGTGGGCTGTTCACGTTGTAAGCACATATCGAAAAGTGGAATATGGATGGCGAAACGACAAAATTGCCGGCCAGCAGTGTATCGTCGACGGTATATTGATTCTAGAGGGGAGCGGGGATTGCTACGCATTATTCGCCGTGACCGAAGAGCTACAACAGTGGCGACCCGGTATTTCTCAACACATTGTGTAGCGTATATTGCTGCGTATGGGCTTATGCAGCCGGACGCCGAAGCATATTCCTGAACTGATGGAACATCAACGTCAGCTGCGTCTGCAATGTGGCAAGAAACATCGGAATTGGACATTAGATGAGTGGAGAAAGTTGCATGGTCCGACAACACATCTGGTTCTGGTCCACCACATCGACGGGCGTGTGCTAATGCTCCAATTTCCAAACGAAACCCTGGCTCCCGGATGCATAGTTGGATGGAGACAAGCCGGTGGCGGGATATTGTGGTGTGGGCAAAGTTCTGATGGAGCACATTTGGGATCATAGTCGCCATAGAACAATCCCTGACGTCTATGCGCTACTAGAAGATCGTTTCAGACTAGGTTCACCCATTCATGACAACAGTATTTCCGCGGGGGATGGTGTTTTCCATCAGGATAATGCACCATGTCATAAGGGTGGAATTGTCAGGGAGTGGTTCGAGGAAAACACCAGTGACATCGTAAGGATCTTAAGTTTTACTAACGGTTATTTTATTTTAAATCTTTACTATCACTTCTTATTTTCTACTTCCGGCCAGAATTATAAGCGTTAAGGTTTTTATGCAAAGTTTGTCTGGCGAACGCCAAGTATTTAAGTTGTGGCCTTTTGCCAAGCGAGAGAGAGGAAGCAGTGAGTTCGAAGCAGGCCGCTTACCTTAGAAGTTACGCAGTTGCTGTTTGCCTTCCAGGCCAGAGGTTTTAATCCTCTTGATAAATTTAAACGTATTGTAGTGTTCACAGTTCTCTGTGCTACATACGCTTCCTGTTAATATAAGGCCAATCTTCCACGTGTATTATTCTAAAGTTAAATTAGAGTTTAGTTTTATTTTTTATCTTTTACGTTAGACCCCGAGTGGCGGGTCATTGTATTCCGAAGTACGGAAGTTATTGTATATAGAGAAAAAATAAAGGGTTTTGTATACCCTTCGTCTGTATCCTGTCTACTTACCACAATTAGTGAACATAGCTTTAGTAAGCTCTCTGTTCCGAGTCAGGTCATTGTATGTTCCCGAAGAAGGTTAGAAGAGGAACATTGAACCTGATAGTGTGGCGCCCAACGAAGAAGAATAACCATGGCCGAGTTTCAAGAAGAACCTGTGCTGCCTGCAGAAACGGCTCAGAATCCAGAAATGCCAGCTGCCGCCCTGGAAGGATTTGGTTACATCGTCCAGACCATGCGCGCTTCGATGAAACCAGAAGCAACGTTTAATGGAAACTCACCGGTAACCAGTTTTTTGGAAAAATTGGATGACCACTTCATGCTCTACCCCGTGCACGAGTTTCAAAAAGTTACCTTAGCTACCAGCGCTTTGAGGGGCCAAGCGCTTAACTGGTTCAAATGTATAGGCAGAAGTCTCTTGGGTCAAGCAGGAAGTCCCACCTATACTTACGAAAATTTCAAGACTGCCCTACTAAAAGCCTTCCCTGTTGTAAGGGATCGTGCGAAATTAGAAACGGAACTTTTCAGTATATATCAACAAAGAATCGAAAACCTCTCGAGCTTTATTTTAAGAAAAATTCACGTTTTCAAGCTCTTGTATGGAAACCGTCCGGATCCTGAAATAATTCAAGTGATTTTGCCGAGGTTACTACCCCAAGTGCAAGACTTTATTGAATTAAGAAATCCGACTACACTGGAAAAGTTATTTGAGCTAGCAATCCAGTTTGAAAGTAGAAGAACGGCGGACGTCGAAAGAAGACGCCAATATCAACAGCGAAACCAATTTGGTACGCCAAGACTACAGCAAACTCAAGCACACGGCTACGGAGAAAAAAGCGAATCAGTGGGCAAGGAAACCCGAGCATTCAAAAACAGCCGGCGAACGTCGACAGTTCAATAGCAACCCAGGAAAAAAGTCTCAAGGCCAGGGGAAAAAGAAGGAAAGCACGGAAAGGAAAAATAATTTAAACTAAAACGGATTTCTGCTGACGAGAGGGTGCGGAAATCCGAAGGCCACGAAAACCCCTCTTCCTACAAGTTAAATACAGTAATGGTGAAAAATTTGACTCTTCC